TTCTCCTTGAAGTATGAAATTATTCTGAACCAAATGGCCATCACCTTTCAAAATTAGTTTCTAGTGAATCTCATCAAGGGAATAATGAATCTCTAATCATGTGTGACCTTCCATATGAAAGTGGGTCAGCCCATACACAATAAACCTGTTTACAAAGGTTTCTTTAGTTCAGCTCAAAATGATCCCCTGGGTGAAGTGAATACTTCACAATTCTGAAAAATGTTTCTTAGCACTTGACATTTCAAACTTTTCAACATAGATGGTTGTTTTTATAGCTAAAACTATAGATTCTGTCTTCCAGCTACTGCTCAAAGTGAAGTACAGTATTTTTTCCACTTCCACTGATTTTTAGATGGACATAATAGCTTCTGGCCCAACTTCTTTTTGTCTCCACCTTTGAAACCATCCTAGCTCATTCTTTCCTTCACTTTGGCCAGTGCTTTGAAGCTGTTGGTGGTGGATTTAAATGCACGGTTGGCACAGAATCACTTCCTTGTAAAGTCAAAATGGAAAAGCAGAGGTTTTTTTGTCATGTGCCAGGATGAGCAAGTGAATTACACTTCCTGGTTTTTTGACACTTCTTTTGTCACATTAATATACTCTGTTATATAATTATGTATGCTATATTAATCCAGATTGCTGGGATCACTGCTCACAGGCGGGCAGGATGAAACCTCACCACCATTGTTATCCCATGAGAAGACTGAAGTGATGATGAGGAGGAGGAGGACGAGGAGGCCTCCTTCTCCTCCTCCTCTATTGATGCAATTTGAGACATGTTTTAAACCCTGCAGGAATGATTTTCAGGGTTTATAGCTCTCCATTTATAGTGCAGAAGAATATCCTCAACCACATGCTGCACAAGTGATGTAACATGTAATTTAACCCTGTGCTTCCACTTCAACAGAACGTATTTGTTTTATAAGGGAGATACAGAATGTGAAAATACACTTTGCCATGGGAAAGTGAACGAACTTCCAGTACATGCTACGTCTTTACTTCCAAGCAGATGTAAAGGAAATAGCATCATACAGAGATCTCCTGCAGCATATATGCACAGTGTGGAACAAGTAGTTTCTCTGAAGCTATCCAAAAGTGCCACAAGTATGTTTTAGCAGTCTATTGTTATTACTTTTAAGGAGCAATGCAGGCAAACAGGTGTGTGCTCCCACTTGAAAATGCAGCCCTGTTGAGTGTGTTCCATGTGGCAAAGCATTTTGAAGTATCATTTGATCAAAACCCCATGAAGAACAGAAGAAGATGAGCACGGCTGTATCAGATCTCATTCAGGTCTCTGAAATACATTATTCCATATATAACAAGGGTTGAATGAATTGATTAAAGAAAAACAAATGATCCATCCATGGACCTTTGGAAAAGAATTTGAGTATTTATCAATTCAGAGACAGACAGTATCTTTCAGTCATTAAAAGGTAAAACCTTTCTCTCAAAGGCAAAACTAGCGCATTCTAATTCTAAATTCTGTATACTGCCTTTGATTTCTATCTTTCCTTTTGGTTTTTTACAAGATAATAACTAAAATACGTTAAAGCGAGGCAAAGAAAAATGCTCATAGGAATCCAGCCAGTCAGATCATTGTTCGATGTCAAACCTATATCGGCAACACTTTGGGGAGACTGTATGCAACCAGATGTGTTTCTCTGTGTCTTAAAGTTGTGGATGTGTACAGAGAATGTTCTGCCATATGCTCTGTTTGGGCTATTATCATATGTCATTATTTGTTTCTTAAAGAGAAAAGAACTCTTGCACATCTGATATAGATGGAATACTAACTGGAAATGGTGGAATGGTCTCCCTTTCTTCTGCTTTTTCCCCCTACCACTAGAACTACCTTGTAGTTTACACCTTAAAAAACCACCTATGCTTTTTTCAAGTTTTTATTCACACTAAGAATGATTAGAAATTTATTGCAAGCTGAAGGTATTCAAATTACCAGGAAAATTTAATAGATGCTGAGCACATATTAAAAGAAACTGATTCATAAGCTATGTTTCTCTTTGGACCATATATGTATAAAAATACTATTTATTCAGATTTGTCCTCTTTGCCCCTAGGACTCCGGACAGTACTATAGGAACCATTTTGAAAACACTGATGATGCATTTTCACATCTGCTTTTTTTTTTTAACATGGATATTATTTGTCTTTTGCTATAAATAGTTTTAGTTGGTAAGATTTCATTTGTGAACATAAATTGAAGCAGTAGGTTTGCTTCTCTGCCTTTAGCAGTCAGAGATCCAAGTCAGTTCATACTAGTTAGTGCTATACTCCCAGTGGCAGATTTTCCAGAAGCAGCCTTCCAGAATTGCAACCTGAAAGAAAGAGACAGGAGAACTTGCCACCAGTAGTAAAATACATGTAGCCTCTTGTGAATATGAAACAGCATTATGAATAACTGCTTTGGATTCTGGACATTCCAGCTTTGGAAGCGATGGATAGAACTACAAATTTGCCATCACCTTGTGCAATGAAACCTTGGCAACTCACAAAGTGGCATTGGGAGGGTGTGATTTCTTGCAGAGGAGCAGCAAGTGGGAGACAAGCAGCTTAACCTTCACCCCAGAAATTTCCCTCTCTGCAGCCATATTTCTCCCAGTTGGAGTTTCAGGCGCATGTTTGCATTGTGGATATGTATCTGGAATCCCTGTTCGTGTGTATACATGGGGGGAAAAGCAGTGGGCAGGAGAAGAGTTAAACCGGCATTGCCCCAACCTCCTGCAAATTGTCTCCTCTTCATCTGCTTCTGTTACAGAAAGGCTATATCAGATCTGTGAAGCCATACTTCACAGCTGGGGTACATTTTTAGTGGGAAGCGGGGTTAAGTGAACAATGAGGGTTAAGTCTCTCTTGTTTGCCTTGCAAATGTCCTTTACTCAGTTTAAGCAGCACTGAGGATTCCATGACATCTGTGACTGGGGATGTGGGGGATGGATCATGCCATGCAAGAGAATAAAGCGGTGAAGTTCAGTCCTGCTTAGGTTTTGAGAAGTCATTGGTAATCTAGGTAATAAATTTTCATTTTAAGTGTTCATTACTTTCCCATCGAATGGACTATGGCAATAATTTACTTCTGATAATCCACTACACAAGCTAAATGTTAGGAAAGCTTTGCAATGTTAATATTAAAAATTAAATGTGATCCTCTAGACAGTTCTTTATGTTTCCCTTAGGTGTAATTAAATTGTTTCCCTCTTCTGCTGTCTCTCTACTAGTTTAGAGTCACTTTTTTTTCTTTTTCAGCATTTGCTCCTTCTCTAGTATGCCTATGTCAGGATAAAAATAGAAGCGCTAATTAAAACATGAAAGGCTAAATCCAGAGGAACTGCTCTTAAATCTTTCTAATTCTGTGGTCCATAAATGTACCATGCAGCCCCTATGCTGGCAATTTTATACAGCCCTATGGGAACCTGGATCCCTTTGAATTAAGTGGAACAAAGAGCTTGAGTACAAAGTAGGGAACATGTGACCATCTTGATGTTATTGGACAGCAAGATTGCAACCTTTGTCTGTCCTATCACGTAGGGCTATAGCTTCAACATCCTAATTCACAGGTCACTTACACATTTCCAATGATTACAATAGCATTTGGGATCGGTTTTGAATGCTATTTGTTTGGTTTTTTTAATTAACTGCTATTTGCCCCTGTCAGTGTTCAGTGTGACTAATGATAATAAAAAAGATTAAAAACAATGTCTTAATTAAACATAACATAACCCATCAGAAGCAAATTAAAAACATAACAGTAAAAGAAATAGACAGGACCCAACCATTTAAAGCTCACATCAGCTAAGCTTGGGTTTAATAAAACCTGCCGGTGGAAGGACAACAGAAAGACTCTCACAGCAGAGGCTGGGAATAGCAACTGAGCAGAGCATCTCTCATGCCTCCACCATACAGATCTCCATCTAGAGTACCCACATCACCTAAACTCCCCAAATGTTTTGAAATTTATCATGTATGTGTTCCAAACAGCAGAAAAATTACAGGAAAATGGAAACATTGCATACCAGAAAAATTATTCCTGGTCTGTAAAGCCTCTTTTTCAAGGAATAAACATCATTGCAATGTTGCTTGAACTTAGCTTTGAAAAATGTTTCTCATGTATGAACATACGTCTAAACTGGTCTGTCAGTGGATCCAAACTCTTCCATGGATGCACATGGATTCTTAGAATTTCCCATCCAATGGTACCTCTTTCTAAGCCAGTGGAAACCATTCCTGCATGTTTTTTAACTTTCTGAGAGAGCCTTTTCTGAAGGGTCAAAAGCAGCAGAGATAATGGGAAGATGCAGAATAGGCAAAGTATAGGCAGAAGCTCCCAAGCGTAGACTGAACGATTTCTGCCGGATTACTCAGAAGACAAGGAAGGAGATAAGAAAAGTCCTGTAGATAACTATAATTTGGATATGGTAACAGATAAAGTCTTCCTTGATTTAGGATTTATTTATTTATTGAATTTCTAGCCTGCCCTATTAGTCACACAGTTCTCTGTTATGTTTATGTTCCTTTTAGTCTGTCTACAGTAATAGACCCTTCACAATTAGTAATACCTGTACTATATACATTTATAACCTTTTCACATATTCTTGCCATAATCTTTCTATCCTGTTTATTTTCAGTGGCTTTGGCTTTGCCCCAGAGCTGCCCACATATTAGTGCTTTTAATGCCTTTCTTAAACCAAGATTAAACAAAGCAAATGCTATTTAGGCCTCAAGAACCTGTGACTTCTTCCTTGAAAACCTGAATCACAGCCATTTAAAGGATAGTTCATAAGCACAGAGTGAAGAGTGCAGCTTTCACCTTCTTTATTCTGGATTAGAGTATGGTAGGACATAGCATAGGCCTGTAATGTTGTACTGTAAAATAATTGTAATTTTCCACCTTTAAAAGTATATTTGGCTTGTGGGATGCATATTTACAGTACATCTACAATGTTAGTAGCTGAATTAATATGATTTTCCTCTTTTTCTTAATTCAGGCGAGGATATGCACAGCAAGAGGTAAGACATGCTTTCTTCACATTTATTTAGCAACAAGTTACAATCTATAGTTCTTTTCTTCTGCATAGCCTAGATAATGTTGTCTGTTGGATAGGATTGATATTATTTAATTCACTGCACAGAGTTAACTGCATGATTGGAGTTAAGAATGTGCAGAGTGGGATCAAATGAAGTCCCGCCAGGGCTTTCAAACGGACTGTTTGCAGCTGCACTGGCTGCTGCTGCTTGCTCGCTCGCTCTCTGGTCCAATGGCTCCCTGTTACGAGAAAGATTTTTCAGACTTCGGTAGTGATTGTCACATTATCGGGCCTCATAAAGAGGTTTTGCCCTTCCAGCAAGATGCAGTTGGTTCATTACTTCTCCCAGATTTCTTTTTTGGGGTTACCAATACTCTCTGGCTGGAGACTGGGCCATTATGGCAAGTCTCCCGCTTTTGTGTGTTTTTGTGCTTGATGGCCACTCATATGAAGATGTGGGATGGTGGACAAGGAGAGGTAGATCTTTACCATGAGAAACACTTTGTACTTGGGAGCACATTCTGAAAAACAATGTGCATTTTCCATTCTGAATGAACAACCATATATTCCAATGATGGCTTTGCCTTCCAGAAATTAATGGAAATGTGAACCTAATATTTACTCAGCCTGCTTTCAGGCTAAGTTATACACATGAAGGTCTCTCCTCAAACTGACATGTGTTTTGTGTGCAGAAATCTGCTTTAAAAGGACCCAGGAAGTCTTGTAAGGCAAGAACTTCTCCAAAAAACCAAGACTTTACTAACAACCACTATGCAATAGACTAAGAACTTTTATGGCCAGTAAAGTCCTTGCCCAACTACAGGGCAGCAAAGGGGAAATATAACACATGTGGCTATTCATTCTTTGAATTCACAGTGTCTTTGCCCTTTTGACTTGAGGAAAACCTATAGTTACAATAGAATTAAATGAGCTCTGACCAACATTCGAATTAACCATTAGCGTCCAAAGCACACAATTGTGTTGTTATGATGGTTTAAAGGTTATCTTGTAACCCTGCAACCTCAAAATAAATTACTTGCATTTTCCATTAAGTCTGTCTCATAAACCTATTTCTGTTTCCAATTGTCTTTGTCAGCAACAGCAATTGCTGAGGCCTTCCCTTCTCAGACCAGAGGTACATCTTTCTCCCTTCCTTGCTTTTCCACAACTTTCAAAGCATTTATATGAATACACTCTGTCACAAGAATACACTCTGTCACATAGAAAGAAAGTCTATGTTATCCATCTTCAGTGTGCAATTATGAAGATAAACCAGTGATCTGTTTGGGTTCATGTACTTCATTCTGTTGTTACTGAAGCTGTGTCTTTTGAAAGGTGATGTATCTCTGCAGCTACTGAACTGTCCCAGGTTCATTTTGGCATGAAATAGCACCATTAGCTGCAGTGTTATAAACTATACTCATGGATTTGAATGATAATTACTTACATCCTTTCTGCTCTACTAAGCCAAAGAAGTCCCTTTGACTTCAGAGGAAGTACAACCAACGATATCCTTAATCCCTGCAAAAGTCAGTTGGTACTGCTTTACTTACAAAAGACAATATTCGCGCCAGACAGCCAGGCAAACAGTGTCCTCTTCTAAGGACACAATGCTATGCATGCTTGGACAGAAAAGGGTCCTCCAACTTCCAAGGTAATGGCAGGCCCAGATCCAGGTCAAGCCATGGAAATGGTCCTGTTAGTGTGGTGGACATCAAAATGTGCGGGGCTAAACAACTCTGCAGATGCTCTGATGGTCATTGAATTAGGAGCTCTGGCTTGACAGGGAGGAGAAAAGCCAGAACTGGCACCAGCATTCTCACTCGAGAATGAGTGAACAACCCAGCTCTTTTTAAAGGTTGTTGTGATGTGTGAACCAGGCCAGTAGTTCTTTTATGCTATGAACAATTTAATATCGTCCTTTGCCTAGAAATATTTATTTAGCAATGATGATAGGAAACTTAAGATAGGAAAGCAAAACATACTTTTTGTGAGAGAGCTAATGTTGCATCCAGAATAACCCTATCATTGTGTGTAAACCTTAATACTTGGTGTAAACCACAGTAGCAAATACTGTTTTCTGAATTCTAGCATGGATCTTTTTGTAAATCTGAACTGATGTAGGCATAGTCCTAAAATGCATTTGAAGTTTTCATTGACCTTGTATTATTAGAGTGCCAACTGGGGGTCCAAAACAGAAGCGCAGATGAACTTTTATTTTTCCCACAAGACTGTTTCTAAGAGGAAACCCTCTGGCATAATCAATATTAATTAAATGGTATACATCAAGGATGAGAAGACCTAGCAACCCTCTTTTATAGAATATCATACCTCTATGCAGCTCTGGGACATCAGCAGTCCCTAGATTTCTACATTGCTGTTGAATTTTCTTTTCTGCTTCTTCTGAATTACAGGAACTGTCTATGGAATCTGGTATTGACCCTGGCCAAGAGTACTATGGACAAGACTACTACAGTTATGAACATGGGTATCGTTCATTCTGTATTTCCGCTATGACTTCACTGATGATGGGTCCTGGCTGCTTTGGCTCAGGGCAAATGTGCATGCCATACCTGGAATTCAAATGTTAAATGTGCCTATGGGCTTTAGACTTGATTTGTAAAATAAGCCACATGCTCGCTCTAGCGGTGTCATCCCCATGGCTGGGGATGAGGAGCAAGGGGCTGTAGTCCATCGCATCTGAAGGGCACCAGTCGAGGAGGGTTTTCTTCTGCCACACTGGAAACTACTTCTACTTGTCTTTATATTTCATAAAAGGAAGGGAGGAGGGAGGGAGTTTGCCATCTGAGAGACGTATCTCCTGTTCCAGAAATGTATCCCAAGATCCTTGGGCATACCATATTTCGTTATTTAGTTGAGACTTTCTAGATTATGCCTCATAAACCCTGTGAACAGTGGAGTGTTGCTTGAATCTAACGAAGCAACCATTCCAAACCTGTTGGCCTCCAGGTGCTTTTGATTTCAACTCGCAGCATGGTACCCAGCTAGCATGGGAAATGGTCAGGAGTGCAAGAGCTGTAGGTCAAAATATCTAGAGGGTACAAGTCAGGCTAGCTCTTCTAGGAGAACTAAGTCATCAGTAAAAGCAAAATTGCTTGGTTGGATTCAGTGTAGTATTATTACCATATTTATTATGGAGTTGTGGTTTTCTGATCTCCTGATTTTTCAGTATATTTCAGTGCATGCAGAAAGCATGAAGCCCCAGAGCAAAAGTCTCTTTTTGAAATAGAACTTTAGAAATAGAACTTCAGTATATTTATTTTTATCTCGGTTTTTGAAAATCAAGTGTGCTCTCTCTCTCACAAACACACACACACATACACAATCCCAACACAGTCAATGTCATAACAACCCCATTAAACCCAACCTTTATTCTCTGCACCGTGTATTATGTTGTTGCTTTGGTTAATATATACCTGAACACAAATCACCTGTAGTTTCTCTCAGATGAGCAAGTTGTGCTCAAGTAAAACTAGGCACTTCCAAGGAAAAAGACCCATAGAAAGAAATGTTGTTGTGTTCTCTCAGATGTTCTTCCCATTTTGAAAAGGTTCCTGCTGTTCTTGGCCTTCACAAACAAAAGCACTTTGCTTGTATTTCAGTTACATGTACTCAGTTACACGTAAGAAGTTCTCACTGTGCTTCCAGTAGTTGCTCTGGAATCATTCCCACATTGGAATTTCACATGAAGGGATCCATGTGTGCCTGAAACTGCATCTATTTAGTGACACAGGAATCACGAAGCAGGGGTCTTTGTTCAGCTAGACATATCTAGGATCTACTTCCTGATGCACACACATGCACCTGTGAGACTACCTGTACATTATAAAATATAGCTCTCCATAGATGAGTACCAAATTTGAGCTAAAACAGCTGTTAAAAGAGGGGGGTAAGACAAATTAGTGGATAATAAGACTGTCTAACGGCTGGCCACTCGGGAGTACATACTGCTGAACTACATGGGCCTTGGGTCTTATCCTGCATGGCTCTTCTTATGTCCTTATATATGTATATATTTGTGTGTGAAGCAGCACATGAGACTCACTCTGCAGACAAGCATCTTCCATTACGCAGGTGTAGAGAAAGTACGAGCGAGCTAATGCAGATAGTTAAGCACTGGTATAATGTGTGCTGAACACAAAGTCTTCCAACACCATATTGGGTGGCAGATGTGTCTTCTTCCAAGGGCAGCACAAAGCAGTATTCTAGCCTCAGGTTACTGGCTGGCTGTGAGACATGATTGTTACACCAAGCATTAGGCTTTATAGCAAGTTCTTTGTGACTACAGTCACAAATAATTATGGAGGAAGAAATATGATCACCAAGTAATAAGGAATAAGTAGACAAATGTGTTTAAAATGTATATATATTTTTTAAATCCTATTACTGACACCAAGTATTTTTAAGATACCTTGCAGGAACAAAATCTGGTCTAAACTGAAAGCACGTAAGAAAGGAGCATAGCTATTGGATGCATAAAAATGCTTAGTTAAACATGACCCCAGATCCAGATAAGAGAAGTACAATGGTGTGCTTGTGAATACACAGAATCCGCATGTATACTAACAAAGAGGATGTCTGTACCTGGCTTTTTTTCCCAGGTACGAATTGCCTCAATATGGAAGTCGTCGCAGATTGCTCTCTCCTTCTGGCATGTATGATGAGTATGGTGAAATGGTTGTGGAAAGCGATGGAGGCTACTATTACAGTCCACAGGGACCTACAGCAGAAGCAGAGGTGGGTTTGTTTTATTTTTCTTCCAGTTTCCTAACTCTTTTGAATATATTGATCTCTTCACTGGCACTCTTACTACCATGTGCATACTTTTGGTAAGAAGTGTTTGCATTCGAAAATTATATGCTTAATTCTTGATAAATGATGGAACCAAGTCCACAGAAGGATATTTTTGGAATGCTTCTTTCTTGCACAGCTGCCTGCATTCCTTCCCCTGCAAACCCGCCCCCCTCCCCACACGCACACACACACACACACACACAATCCCAAGGATGACAAGGGCTTCTTTGGGGAGGTGTGATAATTTAAAATTGGGAAGAGCTCTGTGCTATCCAGAGCAATTCCAGTCTTCCTCCAGATGTAGAGAATTGGTAGAATAACTCTTCGTACCAGGCAAGCTGTCCTCCTGCCATCCCATAATGTTCAAGAAGACTCTTCTGACTCACCAGAGAGGTTTGTCAGAGGACAAAGGGTGCTGTAGAGCACAGTGGGTACATAACACTGTTCTTCCATGAACTTCCTTCATGTTCATTTATGGGAATGTAAAATCTCCCTTTCATTTAGCAATCGTAGGATTCAAACCATTGCATAATGATGTTCAGCACCGGCATCTCTCCCAAATAAAAAGCCCAATAAAATATTAATACTATCATAAGTACTATATGTGAAACCAAAGGCAAGGAAGGGCCAAATTGTCACTCACATACATTCTGAATCCATGCCCAAGGTTTTCTTGAAAAGGTTATAAATACACCATCAGATTATTTGATATTTCAATCACTGAAATGGATGTTGTGAAACCAGGGGAAACCAAGGAGGTACCTCATATCTTCACCTTTTAGAGCTGGTGGGTTGTGCCTTCCTACTGGGCAGGCATAAAGGGTGGACAGTTCTCTCAGTGCCAGAGAGGGTGGACATTCATGGTTACGTCCATGACATGCTCCCCTCCAAGCCCTGCAGCACTGAAGCCCTGTTGGTAGGTTATCAGGCATGGCTGTTGCTGAAAAACCACTCCCCTCTCTTTTGGATCTGCACCACAGTGGAAATGTACGCAAAAGGTCTACATGGTCTGGTAAGGTCTTGTGGGCTCTGTCTACACATCCCCCCAGAGGGCTGGTGTTTCAGTGCTGCATAAGCCCACAATCCAGGGATCCAGAAGTGCACTATCTGATCTGTATTGTACATTACAGTTTCATTCTAGTGACTGTCTGCACCACCTCTGTAATCTATGTGATGTGCCTGAAGAAGCTCTAACAGTGTTTTTTACAGCTCTTCTTCATTTCCAGCTCTGGGTCACCCTCTAGTGGCCAGAGGAAACCATTAAAACATTTTGGTCATAAATTCAGTTTAGGTGTCCACCTAAATTCTTATACTCCAGTGTAAATTATCCAGATGGTCTGATTTAAATGCATGTGAAAGATCCAAGTTATTCTGCCATAGAAGTGCCCCCTGCCTCAACTACAAGCCTTTCAAGAGAGGCCTCAAAGTGGGGGTGCTTCCATCGAAAGAATTGCTGATATGCTCCACATACATGGCAATCAGCATGTTCGATGAACAAGATGACAACTGTCACAATAGATGCATGATGAGATGTTGCAAAGAAGCAGAATCTCAAGCAGCGCACAGTGAAAGCCACATAACAGCATTACAGCCACATAACAGTCTCTTAGATATTTCAGAAGGTTCAGGCAGAAACATGGACAGTTTCTTATATATTTCTGGAGACTATGTGAAATGTATAATCCATATAATTATTTTGCTTCCATGTATTCCTGCATGTTCATGGTTCATTCTCCCTGCTCTAGATAGTTTAACATAGCACTTTCCAAAACCATAAATAAAGTTTCATTTTTTATAATCCACAGGCAGCAAGACAAGTTGCTGTTCCAAGGAGAGCTGTAACCCAGAGACCAGGGCCTCCAGTAGCAGTTAGTGCTATAGGTGATGGGAAAGCTATAAGAGAAGGTCCCAGCCAGGGAAGAAAGAAATTAAGAGCAGTAATGCAGCTAGGCCGAATAGCAGTTAGTGCCCACAGGCCAGGAGCAGCTGAGGCAACACAGTCTCCATGGAAAAAAGCCAAGATATTCCCAATGATGCTGCAGAAAGTAAAAGTCAAAGACTCAGATTATGCCAAGCTGATGGCAGGATGCCAAGTGGATGGAGAAGACAGCATGGTTATTAAGGGAAGCTATTTCCAGAAATCAGCAGATGACAGAGTATCAACAAAGAAGCTCAGCCGTGCACTGAAGCGCACTAGTGCTTCCAGGAAAATTCAGGACCGTGGTACATCTGAGGAAGTGAGTGAATCTGAATCAAAATCAGGAATTTCCATTAGTGTCACAGCAGACAGTGAAACTGAAGACAGTGACTATGGCAAGAGGAAGAGGAGAAGAAAGTCATCTTCCTCTAGTACTAAATCGTCGTCGTCGTCATCTGCAAGTAGTACTTCCGCATCCCAGTCAGAAAAAGACTACTTGAAAGTGACATTGGACCAAGATGAAACCACTGAAAGCACTGTGGATTCTGGGGAAGAACATTCTGATTCTTCTGGATCAACATCTAGTAGCAGCTCAGAAGATGAAACATCCGATTCTCGGAGCAAAGTGTCCGATACTGAGGAAGATGATACAGAGTCCAAAATGTCATCATCCATGCAAAGTGTGATCAGCAGTGACGTTACCCCCAGAGCAGGGAAAAGAAAAAATCCAAGGTCCAGTTTCAAGAGGAGATCATCTAGAACTGGAAGTGAATTAGATGACACAATAACAGAATTGTCAGAAGAGGCTGAAGGACCACCATCGGCTGTGGAAGAAGAGGAGGAAGAAGAGGAAGAGTCAGGTGGCAATGAAGCCTCCTCCACCAATGAAAAGACTGCCTTGAGCAAAAAGAGGGCTGGTAGTGAAGGAGAGATTGGCCAAGATGCCAGTGAGGGAGAAGAGAGCACCACCAAGAACTCAGCAACAGATTCTAATGTTGACATGGAAGGGGAAAATAAAAGGGAAAAGGTGCTGGCAGGATCCAGTGAACTGTCAGATAGTAAAGAAGTTTCAGATGCTGCAGAGTCAGAAAGTCCTAGTGACTTCACATCCTTTTAAAAAACAAACGGAACAGTAGGTAGAGAGTTTGCAATAAGGTGTGGGTTTGGCTTGCTGTGCTCTATGTGTTTCTTCTTCCAAAGTGAGATTACGTTGTGTTATTCTTGGCATAACAAACTAGGTAGATGCAATTTGGAAACTAGTCTAAAGTACCCAAACATCCACCCCCCGCCCAATTAATGGGAACATTTTGTAGAAGACAGATTGCATGCTTCTTGCTGAGTGGCTCTGGGGAATTTGGGGATTTGGATATACACAGATATTGTTGGACATAGGACAGGTGCACACGAGAAGCATGCTGTGTGTTCACATAATTATTTATCATATAAATAAGGACGAGTGAGATTCCCAGGGTACAAAGGCTTTTATACAAAGGCTTATGTCTGTGGAGCTGGCTTAGCCAATGCAAATCGAGAGCTGGCTACTGACACTAATAAACAGGCTTTTGTTTGGCATTGTGTGTGCTGTGGGCTCTGTCTGCAGTGTTTGAAGTGTGATGTTTAATTCACATGGGGCACTACTGCTTGGCATTGCAGTCATCAAGAGAAGAGGATGCATGTGTGAGCATGGTTTGCATTTTCTAAAGATATCTGTGTGCTTTTGGAAGTAGTTATTTGTTTTTAACCAATATATTTTCACTGCAGAATTATTTGCAAAAATTCATTGCCTTCATTGCTCTTTCCAAAGGGCTAGTTTTATCATTTAGCATGGACGTAGACCTACAGTTTTTGATTCATTGATATAACTAATATTCAAATTTGAAAAATGCCAATTATGGATATGAGTAACAAGTATTGAGATCCTGTTACTATAATCATACAGTACAAATTTTAAGTTTGTATGATGCCATAATGAATATTGAGGTTTCATGCTGTGAGATATCCTGTGGCATTTGTTCTTACAGTATTCACATGCTGCCTCGGAAGTGAAGTTGATTGAATGTCAAAATACCATTGCACTTTCTATAATGAGCCCTGTGAAGCAGCAGTGTCAACTCATGAAGAACACTTGTCATTACAACAGAGTATTTCAGATTGTTTGTTTGTTTGTTTGTTTTAATTTCTATACAGCCAAAGCTCTCTGGGTAGTTCACAGCAGCATATTAAGCAACAATATAAAATATACCAATTAAAACATATTAAAACATAATGGAAGTTGGCTATAAAAATGTTAAAATCAGATAAAAAACAGAAAAATAAAAATTTTATCTTAAAAAGATCCAGTTGCACCTTATGTAGCAATCAGCAGGCCCCAGTAACTAATTAAAAGCCCTGCAGTGGAGGGCAGTCTTCACTTGGCGCTAAAAAGACAGTAAACTGGTGCCAGGTGAGCCTTAGTGCAGAGCTCATTCCAGAACTGTGGAGCCACCACTCTCCTCCTTGTCACCACCATCCAAGCCTCCCTCAGAGGTAGCAAGCATAAAAAAGCCCCAGAACTTGATCGTAGTGTCTGAGTAGATGAAAGCTGGGAGAGGCATTCCATCAGAAAGCATGGTTCTAAGCCATGTAGGGCTTTATAGGTAAAATCAGCGCCATGAATTGGACTCAGAAGCATGAAGCTTTTAGAGCAGGTTGAATTTCCTCCATCTGGGCAGAAAAACTAATAGCACTAAGAGCATCTCAGTCTTGTCTGGATTGAGATTCAGGTTTTTTTAGCCCTCAGACAATCCATTGTCACAGCCAGCCACTGCTTCAGCATATCTATAGCTGGGATAGAGTTGCGTGTTATCAGCATGCTGATAGCAACACACTCTAAAATTCCAAAACTGCATGAAACTCAATGGTTGCATGCAGATGTTAAATAGCATGGAGGACAAGACCGACCCCTGAAGAACCCCATACTGGAAAATCCAGGGGCCAGAGCAGTATCTCTCAAGCACCACCTTCTGGGGCCTACCATCTAAGTAGGAGTGGAACCACTGCAATGTAGTGCATCTCACATCTAACTTAGTAGATCACCTCAGAAGGATACTGTGTTTGATGGTATCAAAAACCATTGAGAGGTTCAGTAGACTCAAGAGGGTCACACTCCCCTGGTCTCTCTCCCATCACAGTTATCATCTCCTTGGCCCAGTTTACAGTTCCCTCTGTACTGGCTTTTCTTAACCAAAAGAGGAAAGGATCCAGTATGGACATGGTCGCCCGACCCTGTTCAAGCACTGTGTTGACATCCTCAAGCTGAACTAACTGGAACTCATTCAGAACAACTGTGCCAAACTGTGCTGTGGATATCTCACCGGATACCACTGCTGTAACTTTGGAGTCCAAGTCCTGGAGGTTTTTTTTTGGAAAGTTTTTCCTTGCAAACATATTACAGTGGAGTTCAGATGGCTTCAAGGTTTCCTTGGGGCCTGCATGGAATAATCCTGGAGAGCTCTGGTGGGTGGCAAATGGAAGACTGAATGGAGGCAGTCAGATATTGCTTTTTTGCTGCTGCTTCTAAACATACTGTATTGTATTCACTAGGAGTTTTTCTCTAAATGCACTCAAGGGAAAGTCATTGTTAGTCTAAATCTTAATGGGCAGTGACAAGGAGACTGATTCCAAGTCTCCCACCATCAGACCACTATCCCCTGCCCAGCTGAGAAAACCAAATGTGCCCTGCTACATGTGTTGGGCCAATCACAAATTGGGACAGCCCCATGGTTGTCATGGAGTCCATGAAGCCCTGAGCTGCCCCAGAAAGTGTACTCTCAGTATGGATGTTGACATCTCCCAGGACCAAAAGCCTAAGGACCTCAACTTTGTAGCCGAGACAACCTCTGTCAGCTCAAGTAGGGAGACTGTTGGGTTGAGAGGTGAATGGTACACCAACAGAATACCCATTCTGACCTGCTGGCCCAGCACAAGAGGCAAACACTCTAGACTAGGAGCCAGATGGAGAGGGAGGGAGAATTTCTATAGACTGTGGCAACCCCCCTCCCTGGCCTTCCAGTCTACCAAGTACTTAGGTGGGCAGAGGTGGGAGAGGCCAACTCACCCCTGTTCACCAACCCAGATCTCAGCTAGGCATGCCAGATTGGCTGCCTCATCCACTATTGAATCATGGATGAGGGAGGTCTTATTTTGCACCAGTCTGGCATTTAAAAGCAATATTTGGAGACCAGAGGACAGGCTGACAGGGCAACTACAAACCTATGTTGGAGTAGGTTCCAAACATGGCCCAGTCCTTCTTTGCCTCGACTGCATTCCCCTTACCTGGCTAGCCCTCCACCCAACACCATATCTCCCCCTGCTTGTCACTATGCTGATTGGTCCCATCTCCATACTCCACATATGCAGGGCCTGTGAAGAGGAATCCCCTCTAACAATCCCCTCTAGCAATCCCCTCTGCATTGTCCCTCTAATTCAGGGCAACAACGTGCCAGGGGCAATGACCCTGAAGGGCCAACTCCCTTTGGCATCCTGCCCTTCAGGGTCATTTCCCCTGGCGCATTGTTGCCCTGAATTGGGCTGGCAGAAATAGTCCTGCTGCATCTCGGGCCGGGGGGAGACCTTTGCAATTGACTCTGCACCAGGCAGAGTTGGTGGCAGACATGTCTGGAGCTTCTCCCAGGTCTGTGGCACCTGGAGCTTCTCCCGGCATTGCCTCGACCCAGCCAGCCTCAACGTCAGCCTGAAGAGAGAGGCTGACAAGATGGCAAGCAGGCTAGTGGAGAAGCTAAGCCAGGTGCGAGGAAAGGTTGGCAAGATGACAAAGTCAGCAGTCCCACCCTTGCTGAGAGAGTCCAGGGGTGTTGGGGACTGCAGCCTTCAGGTCTAGAAGGACAGGATATTTCCCTCCAAAATAGTCACATGCATAATCACCCCGTTGCTATCTGTAGCCATTCCGTCTGTCTGTATTTTTGGTGTGATAAATGTTATAGTTCAGTCCTTTCTCATAGTACTGCAATCATGGATAGAGCTTTATACACGGCCAGCATCTGATCATGAAGCTAAGTATATCAAATGATAAGACAACACTTTAAAGCCACTGCCTCAGCTGAATGAATTGCAGAGATGACTGAATCGCAGACTGCCACAGGAGGTCTGAGGAACTGCTGCCACCGCCACCAGCCCCACGCAGAAATCCTGAAACATTGGATCAGTGATTGCAGTTCTGTGGTTTATGGGCTCACGCAACTCCCGCAAGTTGCTAGGCATTTAGCCTTCCCAAACAATCTATACTGCAATGTAGTTTGTTTTTTTCTTCCCATATTGGAATCCATATTTGCACTGTGGCGATGCAAACAAATACAAGGTCAAAGCCAAACTCAAGAGTGTTTACTTGAAAGTACTTTCAGATTTTCTAAAATACAAATGACTTCATCACATAGACATTCCAGATCAAGGTTGTTAATGATCATTCTGAGATTTTTTCAAGGCCTAACTGCCTCTTGCGATCAGGAATAAAGGACGTACCCAGCAACAGATGAAACAGAAGAGATGTTAAAATGTCAGTGCCCCTAGTTTCTTTCTCTCTTTTTAAAAAGTCTGTTCCTGTTTTGAATATTTCTTCCTTGATCTTTGAGAGAAAGAGATGAAGCATTCATCAGTATGCATCTTGACCATCCAACATACCCTCTTAATGCAGTTAAACTGATTATTAAGCAAACAGGCTACCCCAAGTCTCACTTTTTTGCTTTGTTTTTGAGGAGAAACCAAGGAGTAAGAAACTCCGTGCATTACAAAACTAACAAATGCTAAAGTAGCTAACCAATTTCTATTTCTGTTTTGTTGTAATACAGTGGGCTGGAAAGAAAAGAATCAAGTTGGTCGTTGATCCAGAATATGAGACCAGCTCCACTGGAGAAGACAGTGCTCCAGAAAGCCAGAAGAATCGCCTCCGCAATCCAAACATTCAAACCAATATCAACGGCAACATCTACATTGCCCAGAACGGCTCAGTTATAAGAACTCGGCGAAGTTGCCTTTCTAACCACATAAAGGTCGCCTCCCCTGTGAGGCTGGGGAAACATTTCAAGAAGCTTGATAAGTTAGCGGTCACGCATGAGGAGAATGTCCCGCTGAACACGTTTTCAACAGGGGCGTCATCTAGTGACAAACTGCCCACAAGACCCTGTAGCGTTTCTTTTGCATCCTCTGCTATAGACACTGACAATATAGCAACCAAATCAGGAGGGAATAGATTGAAAAGCACAGAAGAGCAAGAATCCATTATTGATAACGAGGATGTCAAAGGGTCTTTGGAATTGCCCAGCGATCACACGCAGTCAGATGATGACGAACTCTGGATGGGTCCCTGGAACAACCTTCACATACCAATGACAAAGCTGTGACCTCTCTTTTTCATTTTAATTTTTATTCCCATTTATAATAAAATTACACTTTTTATTGTCACCGAGGAAAACAAAAGTATGAACTTTGTATTGTGCACATAGGTTGTATACTTTGAACAAAATGCTTTAAAGTAAAAGGAAACAAACAACTCCCTCCCCAGAGAATTTGCACTCACATTTGTACCAATTAATTGTTCTTCCCAACAGCTCTTTTTGACAGGCTTCAAATTCAGTGAAAAAAATATTCATTAAAATGGACTAGTTTTGTTGGCTCTGGAGTTATTGTTTCATAATCATCAAAGCATTACTTAAATGCACAGGAAAAAATGGCTCGGTCACTGTTTATAGCCAGAAAGTCACACTCTTGTTTTACTTGTCTGTAAAGCACATGGAACCTTAATCCGCAGTCACTCCTGTTTCTGCCTAAAAGGTGCACCAAGTTATGCTACTGATAGTTCTACACACTTGATGTATCTAAGCTAAGTTCAGGTTCTGACTCAACTACATGTAGTTGATCAATTTGATGACAATACACTGCACAAAAGTGACCTATGTTGGTGATCCCAAGGTTATTTGGGTCGTGTGTGTGTGTGTGTGTGTGTTTCCTTACTAGCTGCCTTGGAACTTGGTTCTATTTTTTGAAAGTGTGCCTTATTTCTACCAAGAATGCATGCAGCAGTGTAGCCACTGTCTCTTGCTACGCCTTCCTCTACAGTCTTGATGAGCCATATAGTTTATAAGCATGTGGCTTAATGAAAGATCCTTCTTAGGTCTCAGATAATGCTAACACTATGGACAGCCCTATCAGTTTATGTTCTAACCTGTTCTATTCAGCAACGCAGCTGTAAAGAGCACTTTGCTTCACTTATCCGCTATTGTTAAAGCCAAAGCTATCCACAGAAAGTTTCCATTATGACCCCTGAGACTATTCCATGGCCTCTTCACATGGTAAAATTGTTGTGATAGAAATGAGGGTTGGGTGTAGCCATGCAAAGTTCAAAGCAGCCTGAACTAGTCATGTGATTTAAGGCATCTTAGATGTACAGCATTTCCCAAAATAGTAGTAGTAGTTATTGGTGCCAGGCCAGTAACCTATTTGAGAAGTCAGTAAGCTTCAGACTCCCTTTGTGATGCACACTATTGTTCCCCTCACTGCCATACTGCTCAACCGTCTGCCCTGACCAGTTCAACAGCACTCCATGCTTCAGTTCCAGCCCAGAGGAAAAGTCTTGGGTCCATTTTACTCTTGTCTTGCTTGCCAGCTACCTTGCTTAGCTAGCTTGCATGCGTTTCAACAATCAACAGAACTGCATCCACATATACCAAACTATGTAAAGATTGACCCAACATACATTCTCACCAAGCCAGCCCAGTTTTAACCTGTGAGACGGCCCTTCAGGAGTTACTGCTTCCTCGGGTACCATTTCCTTGCTCTCCAGTGGCTTAGTCCTTGTCCATATAGAGGTCAGCTACATTTCTTTATTCCTATGTATAGCCTGCTTGAGTGTATGACAGTATTTGAAGGGGACCCAGAGTGTCAAATTGCCCACTGTAAGTGCATCTGTCATTATTTAACTGCTTCAGAATCTATACTCCTGCAGCATGACGTGCTGTGAAATACATTTGCTATATACACACCAGGACTGCATATTCGCAGGATATATATAGTGCATATATAGATGCACTATATATAAAGTGCATTTGCACTCTATATATAACATATACATTCTTTCACAATTTCACAGATTGAAGATTCATTTTTCAACTTCTTTTTGGCACTTTATGACTTCTCTTTCGGACCAAGGTCAACTGTGGTTAAGTGGAAATGTGACCACTGAACCTGTAGTTATTGGGGTCCTCCTGTACATTTAATTGCCCTATCCATAATACCTAATACACAAAGAGAACAATCCATACCTTACAGCTTCATAAATTAGGACTATTTCCAATGATTGAGATGCTCAACTGGGGTAAATCAGTATAGCTTTACTGAAGCCAATGGAGCTTTGTAAATTTACAGCTGTTGGGGAGCTTTCATAATGGAATTCTTAGACTATAAAGCTGCTCTAAGTGAGACATGAATCAGGCCCCTGGTATCAGCAATATACTCATTATATAATGCAATAACCTCTATGTAGATGCATAGAATGAAAAATTAAAGATGATGCAAAATCATTTATAGCAGGGATGTTTGTGGTAATTAATCTTGATTGGGGGAGTGGGCATTTCCATCATTGTCTCTGGGAACGCCCTCCTTCCCACAACTTGTATTAGTTTTGTTTGTTTCTATATAATATCCTTGTCTGCAGCTTTTATGATTAATCAATTTAAAAAAACCTTATGGCAATAGCAGCCAGAATTAAAATGGGAATGATACAGGCACTTGAATGACAGCAAAAGGAACAAAAGGGAACTGGGCAAGGAATGGAGATCCATATCTTGTCAGCTGAAGCTTGGCTTTGGGCTTAAAAAATGCAAGATGGATTCTGGGCCCAGAAGGTTCCACCACAAGCTGCAAAGGCCAATCAACAATGATACTTTGTGAGCTTCAGCTTTGTTGAGTTTTTACAAAAATCAGCCAAAGAAACCTGGTCTGGGAATACCATATAAATGTTATATAATGCATATATGTTACTTTATATGTATTATAACCAGGACTTTTGACATTTTACTTGTCTTTCTGCCTGGCTTTGTTGGATCCCAGTCTAATGTTAATACAGAATCCATGATCCTCTTGTGCAAGTAACAGTAATTCTCTTTTTGTAAGCCATCCAGAGACTTTTTGTATTGGGATGGCGTATAAAAATTTTCAATTAAATAAAATAAGTAAATAAATAAATTCTGCATACAGAACAGATTGGGATCTTACAGCAAATGACCAAGTGGTGCATCGCAAGCAGGTTCATCTCTACTTGAGCAAAGTGTTGCACTTGTGGAAATACACAGAGTGTGATGCAACGTGCTCCCAAATTGGCTATTCTTGTCCTGATGTGTCTGTGCATCATACTGCAACTCCCTTTCACAAACAGGCTTCTCTCGATTTAGTGCAGTATCTCTGCATCTTCAAAGAACAATTCCTCCTTGGTCAGTCCTGTGATCATTTGTGTGTGTTTTAAGTCCAGGGCTTAATTTGAGTCTTGGCCTGGTAGGATGTAGTCTTAGACTCTGAACATGTGAAGTAATAATAAAAGTATGACATGTCTTTGAACATGTAAAGAGTGCCTTTCATTTGCCATCTTATTAATATTCTACTTCTGTCTTAGAAGACACCAAAAGTCAAGGGAAGACCCAACTTTCCTTTTTCACTCCTCCTGCTGCACAGCCAATGTCCCATATAAACAAAGCACAATTTTAATAGCATGGCACTCCCTGAAGCAGCAAACCTGTGCCTGTCCAAACAGGAAAAGTCTGGCGGCTCTGAGTTTGTCCCTGAGAACTGTTCCCGCTCCCCCATCTGGGGCCGTGGTTCTATCCAGTTCGAAACAGAATGCTTTTGCACATGCTGGTGGGATGCTGCACATGCGGTGAGGGCTTTGTTGGCCGACTGGGTCACAAGCTGGGCAGGACTGCGCTTAGAGCTTTGCTCACCCCTTCCTTTGCTCCCCAGGTCACAGTCGAGGGCCATTTTTCCCCACTTTAACATTGAGATGACTGACTCAACGTCACTTTCCTTTTGATCCCTGGAGGCCAGAGAGCCAAAACAGTTGACTTTACCTTGGAAAGCAGCAAACTGTAACCTGTACAGCGTTGTTCGACTGTGGCAGTAATCCCATGCTTTGTGATGCTTTCCCCCCCCCCCATGGGAATTGCCTGATGGGCTGTGTAGTTTGCTAAGGACTGCATCTGGGGAATGGGGTGTCCAGGAGCACCGTTGGCCTCCAGGCCTCCAACAGCTGCCCTCCCTTCTTCTAACTGAAGTTGCAGAAAGGCACTTGCCCATCTGGTACTACCATGCATGTGTGTTTTTTCTGGTGTGGGCACAAAGTTAAGAAAAAACTCAACCTTTCTTCCTTCCACTTTGAAAACCAAAGTAAGTAATTTTATTATTTTATTTTATTTTATTTTATTTTATTTTATTTTATTTTATTTTTGGTATTAGTAAATGTGGACCACCATGGAGCATTCCCCAGATTAAGAGCATTCCCTGCTTTATAAGATTTGGGCTACAATATCCATCAACTCCAGGCTACAAAGTTGAATGTCAGAGAATATGGAAACCCATATTTATCCTATCTAGAGTGTCTCCTGTTGGGCAAGGATGAGTAATTGCATAAGAAATGTAAAAGTTGGTGCATTTTATAGTCTGTGTTTCTGAGACAACATTGTTTTAAGGTAGGGTGTGCAGCAGAGGCAACTGCTCGTAAGGTACAATGCTAGATTTTATAGTGTGTTCTTGATTCCTCACTCATGGTAGTTTGTAGATGTTGCCATTCTCCAAGTCTCGGACACCATTTCTGCAGCTTTGAACAGACAGACAAACAGACAAAGGAAAGTGTGGCATTATTGCAAATGTTGCTGTGAAAAGCTTGTGTATGTACACAATTCCCTATGCCACAGTACCACCTTGTGGTTACATGATGGAACATATAGAAAGGCAGAGAAATTAAACTCCAGCGCTGGTGGGTGGTAGGTGGGAAATGTGAAGGAGTCAACCTTAATTTCTCAAAGTATCTGAAAGCAGAATCCTTGGTAAAGTGGTGGGCTCATGAAGAGAAGCCCTAAGATATTCCAGTATACTAGAAATGGTATGTTTTATTTGTAACTATGGAATGCACTCCCTAGAGAGGTCAGCCAGGCACCATCATTACATGCTTTTCAGCGCCAGGTCAAGACCTTTTCATTTGACCAATATTTTAACAAAAAGTAATTTTAATTGTATTCGATTTATTTAATTTATTTTAAATAGATTAGTTTTATGCTCAGTTGTGGAATAGTAAATTTATTTTATTTAGGATTTGAAATAATGGTGTAAGCTGTCCAGAGAAGACAGTGATGGACGG